ACCCTGAAGATCGCTAGGTTCTTGAGAACCCAACAGATCGCTGGGATCTTGATCGAACCCAGTGATTTGCTGGGTTCCCAAGAACCCAGCAAATGTTCGATAATTACAAGCAACCATATGGGCAAATTTTTTCCCTCAACTAATTTTTGCCAAATTCTCAATGAGAACAGCCCACACACACAAAATATTCATTAGCAAAACAATCAGCTGCAGCCCAAAAATATCCCTAAAATTCAAGCTTCTAAACATAAATATTTAAAAAAAAAATCAAACCTAGCAAATCGTTGGGTTCTCGAGAACCCAGCAGATCTGCTGGGTTTGATTAATTGAACCCAGCATATCGCTGGGTTCTCGACAACCCAGCAGATCTGCTGGGTTTCGAAGAGGAGATGATAAATGATGAAAGGAAAGAGATGATGAGGAGATGAGGAAAGGAGAAAATTAAAACCCAAGCCGGCAAACAAGGATCCAAGGGAAGAAGATGAACAACGAAAGAGGTTGGAGATGAAAAGTAAGGGGAAAGTAAGGGGCAAAGAAAGGAGGAAGGAAAGGAAGTGATGTGTGGTTGAAGAAAGAGTAAAAATGTAATTTTATCTTTATAATTTAACATTTAATAATTTTATTTTTATAATTTATTTCATTATCAATCCTATGTGGCAAGGTATTTGAATTGTCACCTTTTTTCCGTCAAGTAACGGTCCACGTAAGCTAGCTTTTAACGGAAGGACCAAATCAGGGTCAAAATGGTAAACAGTAGGGACCAAATTAGGGATTTTTTTAGTTTAAGGACCAAATTGAAGGTCCGTACAATAGTTGAGAGACCAAAATGGAGTTTTAACCTTCTTCAAAATATCATGCATGCCAACTGGACAATATTTTTGGGGTTGGGCAGCTTTGGCCGCCAAGGCCACATTATTAGAAAATAAATTATATGGTTTTTTTAATTAATATTTTAAGGGTATAATTATTATTATTTTTATATTAATAAATATTAAAAAATAAAAATTTATATTAATTTTAGTATTAATATCATTTGTATCATTTTAATTAAATAATTGACTAAATAAATATTAATTTTTATTTTTTTAATATCAATTAATATTTAAAAAATATAATAATTACAACCTTAATCTGTACTTAAAAACTTCCAATAAATTAATTAGATTAAGTTAAAGGTTAAGAGTGTTTTCGGGGAATTTCAGAGTTTGATTAATTGGATTTGACGTGGTAATGGGAGCTGTTGTCTTGCTGTTTGCTTCGGTTTAAAGAAAGGGAAACTGTTGTAAAGTGTTCCTGTGTCCGCGTTGATTTTCTGTACATTGGCCTACAAAACCATGCTGCACACAATAATTTCTAATTCAAGAAACGGCAAAGTACAAAACAACATTTCAATTCACATTAGTATAACAAATCACTCAATTTGCACTCAGATCCAGATAATTAACAAGTTCAGATTCATAAGAACTCAGTATATCCATGTAGTCGGTGCACATATGTTTTGCTGAAACCATTTTTTGCATGCAAATGGATATCACACAAACAGCAAGTGTTTATTTATCAAAAAGACAATTAAATTTTGTCCTCCTTTTTTGGTATTCTTGTGGAGGTATTTTGTTTGATAGCGGTGATAGGGATGGTTTTAGAAATATATAAAACTTCAAAGGCATCAATGATTTAATTATCTGGAGCCCATCTGTACTGCATCATTGCAAGAGGTGAAAAGGTTGCTACTCCTACTACCCAATCCAACTCTTTCTGTATATTTATTTTCTTTTCTTACTCAAAACACGGTGTTAAGTTTATTAGATCATTAGCTGTATCTTGCAATTTCTAAAATGTGACAGAGGAAGAGAGGCTTCCAAGTTCCAACCTTGCAATTTCAGCTCAATTCAACAAAATTCCTAACAATGCTCTCAAGAAAATTTGTGAGCTTCTTTTCTCTTCTTTGGTAATTTTGATTAGGGAAGGCATTCATTGGTGAAATGGAATCAATTATTGTAGAATTATGGTGAAACAACTCTAAAAGAAAGAAACCCTGTTCACACGCAATATGATCAGTCCATCTCATGTCAAGTCTTCTTCTGTGTTAGGCATTGAGCTGAGGGAACTAAATATTAATTCATTGATTGAGGGGGGCTCCCTCCATAATTCATTGTGTGTCACTTTCCTAAGTATGCAAATTGGTTGCATTTTGCATCAGTCCACCACATGCATTTGTACTGATCTTATGGTTGGCAAACCCCAAATTCTCTGCTTTTCTCTTAATTAACCATAAAATAAATTCCAAGTTCTCGATTCCTCCATTTAGGTTTTGCAGTTGACAATTAATCAAAGTCCCATCAAAAATAAAGTAGGTGTAGGAAAGGAACTCTACATGAATATCTAGAGGACATGAATGTATGTGTTTTATTACAACTAATAATTGCTTTGAGAAGTTTCTGTCTGAGTGAAAGTACCTGCAATCTAAGCCTTAGTGTAGATCCACATTCCCAATATTAAATCTTTGAAAGTTGCAAACAGTCCCTTTATGTACCTTGCGGAGTGCCTCCAATACTTATTAGAAGATTGCAACATGGTTAAAATGGCTGGCCTAAAATAGTCCAAGGGGAGTAGACAACATGCACTAAGAAATAAAAAATCTCAAGTAATATCAATTAAGATACATATTCTCATCTAATAGGTTAGTTTTTTTGAGATGGGATGAGATATAAATTATGACAAATTGGTATAAAAAGGGTCCAATTTCTTCAAGATAAATGACAGTGCATTAAGTCACATTAAATAAGCTGTTACTATTAGAAACTCAGTGTCTACGCTACCCATGGTGAATTCAAATGATTGTTAACCCTACAAATTATCTATGCATATTTTGTTTCCATCTGTCTTACTAAGACGTCTGCAGAGATCAATTGGCTTACATGGTCTGAATCTGGAAATAACTAAAACACGTTTTTAACTCCGTCAACATGTAAGATCCACACTCCATATTACTTATGCATCATGCATGACTAAGTTAACAAAAATTATTGATACAATTCAACGTTTTTTATTTTATATTTGTCTAATTCAGTTAACAAAATAAAAAAAAAATATAAATAAAATAAAACAATTTTTATATTATATATGTATAATTCAGTTATTAAAATATAATATAAATATAATTCAATTAAACTAATTTTTATATTTTATATGTATAATTATATTTTTATGTTTATTTATCTTTAATTTGATATTAAAAAATAATAATTTTTTAATAA